TAAGGAAGTTAAGATTTGATTTTCAAAGAGATTTTGATACATAAATGCATTGCTTTGCTTTTGAATTATTTTCAAAAGTAGGATGCATTTCTACATGTAAAATCAAGTGAAAATGATTGGATTCTTTGAGTTCTATACCCATTCTCACCCTTGTTTTCTGAGCTGTTCCTCTGTACTAACATAAACTCACTGTTTCCTAACTTTCCCATTTAATCTTTCAAGTTCTGTTATCAATCAATTTCATACAGATAATTTTTAAATACAATGTTCAAGGCAGAAATACTTTAACAGTTAAGCGAAACCACTATCAGGCTTTAAGACTTTAGCGGCTATTTTTGGCTTAAGATTTAAAGACGATCTCTGGGTCATAGTTTCAGGGCTTCTTCACCCATCCTCCATGGCTCCAGTAAAATGAGACCACGAGAACTTGAAATCCTGTTCTGCATCTTCCCCACCACCTTTTAGTCAGGATTCGTGTATAGAATCTTGGATCATTATGTTCAATAACTGTTGTCAGGCACCATCCAGTTCTTCTGGTCTCAAGACAAAAGCACAGAGGCAATTGGCCATACATTATATAGCCTCCTCCTATTGCTGACTCCTCTTCCTCTGTTGCTCCAGGCAAATAGAGACCAATTGTGCATTAGATGGCCACAGTGAACTAAGAGGTAGAACAGAAGCATTAAATACGGTATTAAGCCAATTAACTGAGTTAGCTGTTCTATGAAACCACGACCTTAAACGTCCAAACCAAGAAACCAAATTCTATGAGGTGTTTGGTTGTACATAAGCAGCCTCTGTCGATGCTTAAAAAAAAAAAAGTTAGCATCTTGATCACACAACATCTGCCAACTCAACTTTATAAAGGTGTACAACTTACTACCATCAATTACATTAATTACCCAGCCTGGTTTTAAAATGTAGTGTTTCTCACAGGAAGTAAAAATGAGCATGATCAGTCTCAGAAGAGCAAAACAGGATCAAGATTATTCTCACAGGCACGTTTTATTCTTACATATTTCAGAGGCAGAGTAAAAGATGTTTGTCTTTATTCCTGCCTATTTCATAGCCGTTGTCTGAATTCTACATCACGGTTTGTTGTTGTTAGGTGCCATCGAGTCAATACCGACTCATAGCATCCCTGTGTACAACAGAATGAAACACTACCCAGTCCTGGGCCAACCTCACAATTATTGCCACGCTTGAGCCCATTGGTGTTGCCACTTTGCCAATCCATCTCGCTAGGGGTCTTCCTCTCCTTCTCTGACTCTCCACCTTAATAAACATGATATCCTTTTCCAGCGACTGGTCCCTCCTGATAATATATCAGACGTGTAAGAGACGAAGTTTAGCCATCCTAGTCTCCAAGAAGCACTCTGGCTGCACTTCTTCAAAAATAGATCTGTTGGTACTATTGGTAGCCCATGGCACTTTCAATATTCTCCTCCAACACCGTAACTCACAAGTATCAGTTCTACTGTCCTCCTTATTCACTGTCCAGCTTTCTCATGCATATGAGGTTATTGAAAATACCATGGTTTGGGTCAGGCACGCTTTAGTCTTCAAGCTGACATCTTTGCTCTTCAACACTTTAAAAAGGACTTGTGTAGAAAATTGACCTAATGCAATATGTAGTTTGATTTCTTAGCTGCTTCCATGAGTGTTCATGGTTGATCCAAGAAGAATGAAGTCCTTGACAACTTCAATCTTGTCTCCATTGATAAGAACGTTGTTTACTGGTCCAGTGGTGAGGATTTTTGTTTTCTTGACATTGGGATGCAATCCATACTGAAGGCTGTGCTCTTTGATCTTCATCAGTAAATATTTTAAGTCCTCTTCACTTTCAGTAAGCAAGATTGCATCATCTACATATAGCAGGTTGTTAATGAGTCTTCCTCCAATCCTGATGCCACATTTTTCTTGATATAACCCAGCTTCTCGGATTATATGCTCAGCATACAGGTTGAATAAGTATGGTGAAAGACTACAACCCTGTCGCACACCTTTTATATCACGGTTACCACCCATTAAAAGTGCATGCCACCAAGACCGTATCTTGTAACAGACATTGGTAATGGATGTACCTGGTTTTCTTAACTGGTACGTTCTCAGTGCAGTTAACAGATACATGTGGTCTTCTATGGGACTGTCTAATATCAAACATTCCTCATAGTAATTTAGTTATTTATTAATAGCATATGCTTCTTTTGAAATTGAAATAAACCTAATAAATACAACTATAAAAGTTTAAAAGTATGGTACTAGAATAGTAGGGCTCAACTAGAGTAATTCTGCAGTGCTCATTTATCATTTTAGAAATAAACAGTCACGGAAAACTATGGGGGCAAAGTCAGATGCTCAAATGATTAATCTGTTGCTGAGTCAGTTGTGACTCATCACTGTATGATATGGTTTCTGAAGAAAAGCTCATTACAAGACCAAGCAAGCAGCTTGCCCAGGAGACATCAAGGCAAGTGGTCAGGTCCCCTCAGGGCAAACCCCCTGCCAAGACTAAGACTCAATGGGAATACATGCTCTGATTGGTGACCACATTCGTCACTGATAAGGGGAAGTGAGGGAAAAACAGCAATGAAGCTTCGAGCTAAGCCCTACAAGGTTCAACAGACTCCTATGAACCCGGGTGGAGACCTGGTTGGCCAGCAGTGTGGCAAGACCTGAGGACTCTTAGGCACAGAGTAAGTGATGTAGCCACAGATGACTAGAGTGGAGAGTGAAGCATCCAGCTAATAAGAAGAGAGGGCATATGCATAGGAACACCCACACTTTCAGATAATACCTCCTTGACTGGCTTCAATGACTGGATGATCAGAGCTCAACTAGAAGAAAAACGAGGGAAAAAAAGAGTAATCTGATACAATTTGATGAACTTCACCTACACATATGGATGCAGTAGCTCAAAAGAGGGAACAAATCTTTACAGTGAGGATCATTCCCACCCCCTCCACACACAGAGTAGACAGGGATGGGCAACTTGGACATTGGCTACCCAAAGTGGGGGGGACACGACAGGACACAAAGGCAAGAAGTGACTGGCTAGATTCATAAGGCATGGAGGAAGGTAGAATCTCCACTGAGTAGTATCCAATCTGTTTAGGCAGGGCTGATGAAAGGAGATGCAGATAGGTCTCTTGTGATACAATAGTGAATAATTGTTATCAGGACTGACTGTGAGGGTTGGAAATGTAAAGGTAGACGTTCTATAGCAAAAGGAGGGGAGTGACTAACTTTGCAGTCTAGCAGCAGAGGTCCCTGGGACTATCAAGGGAGAAGAGCAGAGAGCGGGACCCTACTCAGAGAAGCAGTGACACTAGAGATGGAAGCAGAGACGATGACATGGAGAGATGGAGTGGCTGGGGACTTTAAACCCAGAGAGGGAGAGGGGCTGTGTGCTGATGACTGGGGGGCAGGCTTGTAGGGTACACCCTTTGATTGATGATGCATGGAGGGGATTGTAACCATGGCTATGAAACGATATATTATAGGATGAATGTAAAGCTAATGTTCTCCCATGTAAACTATCACATAATTCACAATAAAACAGTAAAAAATCAAAAAAAAAAAAAAAAAAAACTCCTCAGTTTGAAATGCAGCTCAAATTGACCTTGTGGTCCAACACATTATCCTGCTGCGCCACACAACCTAAATTCCTTAAGGAACATACAGTCAAATAAATCAAGAAATAAAAAAAAGACCACTGCCTACAGAGAAAGAAGAATCATCACTGTAAACCAAAGCACTGAAATAGAACATGCCATCTGACAGAACTGTCAGGGTTCCCTTACATCTGCCCCAGGTTCTCCCAACCACACCAGACTACATGGTTTCCATGAACCAACCATGGCTTTATACTCTTCTTCACCCTGGAGCATCCTCCCTTTCTAGGAGCAGCACAAGGATCACACTTCCAGAAAGCTTTTCCAGAGCATCTTATTACACAACACATCAGGCTGCAGAGCAACGCTGTTTCCCAGTCTATCCAACCTTCACTCTGGTCTCTTTGAATGTGGGGGCTGCGTTTTTATATCTCCAACACTGAGTTATAGTTGGTCAGTATGGTGGTTGTTGGGTGGTGGTGGTGATGTGCCATGAAGTCAGTTCCAACTCCTAGCGACGTAGTACAGGGTTTCCAAGGTTGTAAATCTTTATGGGAGCCGAAAGCCTCATCTTTCTCCCATGGCACTGCTGGGAGTTTCGAACTGCTGACCTTACGACTCTCGCAGCCCAATTTGTAACCACTACGCTACCAGAGCTGTTTTATATTTAGCTCACATAATCCTGGAACAGCCCAATGAGTTAGGGATTATTATTTTCTTTCTTTTAGAAATAAGAATAACGGGGTGCAGAGCTCCAGAGCCCAGTAAGTGGCAGTAACAGCCAGGCCTGCAATCTTGACTGCTACACAGTGACCAAAGAGTCTGTTCTGACACCTTATTTATCATATTGCCCCAACCTACATCCAGACCACAATCATTTATACTCTACCCTTAACATTTCTTTAAAAACAAAAAGGAGTCTACATTGATGGAGGACTGGATAAGGAATCACCCCGCCCTCAATGCAATGTATCCAATTCATTAGTGTATAAGGTTGATAGCGTTAGAAATCTGATACAAGCGAAGGGTCACATTTTAAAATGTTCACGTGCTATATGCTGTAAATGAATGATAAGCAAGAAGCAAAGACCCCAAGCAAAGCAAACTGCTAATGTAGACACTTTCCTGTCCTATCAGGAAAAGGAATAATAGAAACTAGATGAGGACTACTTATCACCACTCGGACACTGTCATCTCAGGATAAAGAAAGGAGAACAGTACATCATTGCAATAAGGACGGCACAGCCATGTAACTCAGCGTATCTAAGAGAACTTAGATGGATCTTGCTTCAAAATTTTTTTTAGTGGCAACTGGGAATGAATGCATCCCTTTTCAAAAGCGATCTAAGTACGTTTTAAAGCACACCTTTTTTTTCTTTTTTTTACCTCCTGCAACGGTCCATCGGGGACTGCAGTCCGCACCACATCATGCCTTAGTTTCCTCAGATGTAGCAGTTTCTCTCTGTAATCACTCACAGTTGCAGGGATCAGCTCTGCCTGGCGTATTATAGCAAAGACAGACTGGCGCTCTGAGAGCCCTTCGTCCTGAACACCAGAGAAACCGAGGTGGATCAGAATTTTGAATTTCACAAAGTTATACCAAACGAGAAAGAAACAACTGATACGTTAATATTTTAAGTAAGCAATACTTTGAGATGTTAATGACTTGATTTTCATCATAAGATTTAAAATTAGTAGATAATTTATGTGTAGTCTCTAAATGTAGAAATGACAAATATGAAATGGGAAAGTGATTCATTACAAAACACATACACATCCACTTTCGCCCTACAATTTGACTTATAATTTACAGGACGGAAGTATTTCCCTTTACAAAGGTATCTGCACCGGGGTACTCACTACTTCCTTCTTTAAAATAACGTGTAACTACAAGTAAGTTCTGTGGAGTCCTGGTTAATGCGCTGTGGGCTAATGCACCAGACTGCAAAGCCATTTGAACTTCAAGGTTGGTGGTTCAAACTCACCAGCTGCTCCCTGGAAACCCTATACGGGGTCACTATGTGTCGGAATTGACTCAATAGCACTTAACAACATGTAAGTCCTAGACTGTGAAAAACAAGGTCAGCGGTTCAAGCCTACTAGTCATTCTGCAGGAGAAAGATGAGGCTTTCTGCTTCCTTACAAAGATTTATAAATCTATACAGGGTCTCTACAAGTCTCAACGGCACTTAACAATGACAACATACAATCCACCTAAGTATCCCGCAACAGAAGACTGATTAAATCAATTAAGGTCCTTTTATCTGAAGTACCATTAAAAATTTCTGTTAAATGAAGTAACACTAACATAGAAAATACCTATAATACCACTATCATTTAAAAACACATATGAAATAATAACAGTAACAGTAAGAACAAATCATGTATGTGTATACTAAAAGTTGGAAAGAATATTCACCAATTAACTGGGATTTTAGTGATGGATGTGGGATTTCTTAATTCTCATCCTTGGTGATGGAAAAAAAAAAAAAAAAAATAGGGATCCTATTTAGAGGCTCCTGGCAGCAAGGAAGAGAGGAGAGGATGAAAAAAAAAAAAAAAAAAAAATCAACTTTGAAGCTAGACATTTATATAAACCCAGTACCAGAATCAACTCCGCCTCATAAAGTCCCTACAGGACAGAGCAGAACTACCTTATGAGTTCCCAAGGCTGTAATATTTACAGAAGCAGACTGCGATGGCTTTAACCATGGCACCACCAGGGCTATATAGTGTTTGGATTTTCTGCAAAGGTATAATTTTGAAAATAAATATTTATATGCAAAATTATGTTTCTAGGAAGGTTATCTACAAAACAGTTAAAATACCTCCATCAGTTCCGGAAGCCGAACCTCAAAATGGTTTAGAATCCTTATTGTCAAAAGGCGAATCTAGAGAAAGAGAAAGGCACGTGTCAAACTCCAGAGCTTCACTACAGGAAGAAACTGATCAACAGCCAGTGAGATCTAAGCTTTATACAATTTAGAGAAATGGACCCTTTGCTGAGTGGAATACATGTCTAGCCTATGTAACATTTTCACATTCATTCCCAAACCAGCACCTATTCAAAAAGTACATGGAACATTAACCATCAGACTAGACTGAGAAGATACGGTTGCCCATAAAACCATGTTGTTTCTTTGAACCATGACATTATAAGCCTCTCTTATGATGTAAATACAAGGTGTCTTCAAAGAATCTGATTAAGCTTATGGAATCTTACAATTCCATTGTTTCACAAAGAATCTGATTCAACTGAAATGAGTGACTTTTATTTCAAAACATGGTGTTCAAATATTTCCACACCTGCCTGAACAGCAGAATCACATGGAAGGCTTTTTAAAAGGTAACGAAGACTTTTCAGTTTTACCTTAGCCCTGCTAAATCAGAATCTCAGGGGCAGGGACTAAGAATTTGTAATTTTACTAAGCTCCCCATCTAAGCCTGCCACCACTGGTTAGCAGGCCAATGTTTAGGAATCACTACATTAAAACAGATACCATCATACAGCTGCATTGTCCATTGGCAGTGTTAAAAAAAAAGAGAGAGACTAGGACCACACCACAACGCATGATTACCTTGGATACACCAGTTGAAATGTTTGCTTGTAACTTCGAAAATAATTCCATCAAAGCTTCCTGGGAGAGTGGTTCTTTGCAGCCACATAAGGATAATCTCTGATAATAGAGATCAGCCAACAGCAACACAGAGGGCTCCAGAGGAAACATTCTGCAACAAGGTATTGATTAGACCTAAATTGTTCCATACAGCCCCAGGTATTCAGACTACAATGGAAACCATAGCTAATCATTACTGACGAAGGGAAGGTGAGAGGTGAGAAAACTTTCAAGTGAACATTCATCATCACTTCCTTGTGGAAGAAACTGAAGCCCAGCAACAGAGTCACACAGCTAGTTGGAGGTAGAAATGTGACTCCACATGCTATTCTGGCTGTAAATCTAGTACTGCATTTTTAATCCCAGACGAGGACGATATAGACTATGAACTGAGTGCATGCCATGTGCCAGGCACTGTGCTAGAGAGGGAAGCAGGAATGAAGAGTGTTGTAACATGTGGGACCTGGGTAAGGCAGTCTAGGCTTGAACACAGTCCCATCATTCATCAGCAGGGTAAAGCATACAAGTTGTTTAGTCTTTATAAATTGTTGTTACTTAAAGTATTTACTGAGTGTTTACTTTGTGCCACCGACTTTCCCAGGCACTGTGGACGACATTAAAGAAGACGTGGAGACCCTATCCTCCCGGGGCTTATAAGAGGGGGAGACAGCCGATAAATAAGCATGTAGACTATATCTCATGAGTTTGACAGTCATGAGTACCACGAGGAAAAGTGGATCACGGCAAGGAGACCTAGACAGAGAATGTGGTGTGTATGGGTGAGGGGGACTGATGAGGAGAACTAGCTGCTATGGAGCAGTCATGGAAAAGTAAGCCATGTGGCGATAGGGAAGAAAAGCATTCCAGGCTGAGGAACATCCACCACAAATCCAACAGGCGTGTGCTTATCTATTTGGGACCCATCAGAGAGCAGTATGGTAGGACTGCATTAACACAGAAAAGCGCCTGAAGGTGAGGGCAGAGGACCCAGAGGTGAGATGAGACCCTCAGGGAGGCGATAAGGGCTCTGGATCCTATCCTGAGACAGAGCACCTCTACAACACTGTTTCTCAACAGTGGTACTACTGACATTTTGGTCCCGGTAACTTTGTTTTGGAGCTGTCCTGTACACTGCAAAACATTTAACAGTATCCCTGGCCTCTGTCCACTAGATGCCAGTAGGACCTTCAGTTGTGAAAACCAAAAAATGTCTCCAGAGTCACTCCTGGTGGAAAATTAATGTCCAAGAGGGTTGTGAGCAAAAGAGTGACCCGATCTATCTTCTATTGAAAGTGTCATTCTGGCTGTTGGGTGCAGAATAGAAAGCAAAAGGGCAGGGGTGGCAGTAAGGATTCTCATGAAGAGGCTAATGCAATAATCTAGACAAGAGACGGGAGTTTAGATCAAGATTTAAAACTTTAGTTTCCTCTTCTGTAATGATAATAATACCTATCTCATGGAGTTGTTTTGAGGATTAAACTCAATAATGTATGCAAAACACTCAACACCGTGACTGGCATAAGAGACCACCAAGTCACTGCTGTCAGGCTGATTCTAATTCAGTGACCCTATAGGACAGGGTTTCCAAGGATGTAAATCTTTATGAAAACAGACACAAACTCATCTTTCTTCCTTCCATGAAGCAATTGGTGCATTTGAACCACCAAACCTGCTGACTGTGTGGTTAGTAGCCCAACGTTGAACCCACTGTGCTATCAGCATCCCTTGTTGTTGTTGTTGTTGTTAAGTGCCGTCGAGTCGGTTCCGACCCATAGCGACCCTGTACAGGGTTTCCGAGGGTGTAAATCCTTACGGGAGTAGAAAGCCTCATCTTTCTCCCGCAGAGAGGCTGGTAGTTTCGAACCGCTGACCTTAAGGTTCGCAGCCCGATTCGTAACCACTACGCTACCAGAGCTCCTTAGCACGTAAAAATATAATAAATGAAATCTGTACATGGCTGTTATTGCATACAGAGTCTGGGTGTGGCACTGTAGGATAAGCGCAGGATCACAAGATCAATTTAAGCCACAAGGTCAGCAGTTCAAACCCACCAACTGCTCCTTGGAAATCCTATACTGGATCACTATGAGTCAGAACCAACTCAATGGCACTTAACAACAACAATTACTGCATGCAAAATACTGCAGCAGTCAAGAAATCATATGACGTACTGCATTATGCAAATCTGCTGCACAAAACCTCTTTAAATTGCTTAAGAGCAAATATATCAATTTGAGAACCAAGGTATGCCTGACCCAAGCCATGGTATTTTCAGTAGCCTCGTATGCACGTGAAAGCTGGAATTACGAAGACCTCATAAGAATTAATACATTTTGAGTTAATGGTGTTGGAGAATATTAAAAGTACCATGGACTGCTAGAACACACCAATCTGTGTTGGGCACAGCACAGCCAGAATGCTCCTTATTAACCAGGATGGCCACTTTGTCTCCCATACTTCAGACCCTGGAGAAGGACATCATGCTTGATAAAGTGAAAGGCTAGTAAAAAGAGGAAGACCCCACAACAAGATAAACTGGCAGAGTAGCAGCAGACCGGGCTCAAGCGTAACAATTATTGTAGGGCTGGTGCAGGACCTTGTTTTGCATAAGTTCGCTATGAGTCGGAACCAACTCTATGGTACCTAACAACAACAATTACTACATGCATGGTCTAAATTTATCTCTCTAGGGAAAAGTACTACCATCCCCTTTTCAGAGAGAATGACATTGAGGTTAACTTCCTCAAGGCCACAGCAAGTCAATGGTGGAGACAAGATTCAAATCCAGGCTGCCCTGGCTGGGAACCCTATGTATTTAATCGTCATATAGCATAGAACCGAGTATAGTGGGCTGCTGCCACAACTTTCATAACTGAAAAGCTGGACCAACTCCTGTTGGGGGTTTCTGGGCCTCCAGAGTTAAGACCCACCGACTGGAAGTGGAAGCAGCCTTCCACAGAGGACTTGCTATGTGTACTTTTCCATTTCAAGACTCCTACCATGCTTATACCAAGGAATACAGTGGGAGAAGCCTATCTGAAAGTTCAAGAAAAATGGCCTACGTACCATGGTAAGTACAGGGACGCATGTAAGTATGGAGGAGAAAAGGTCCTCCCTGCAGGAAGTTTAAAGCTATCCCATTAACTGCGGAGAAATGGCAACTTCATCCAGCTTTGGTCATGTAGCAATTCTGGATTGCAAACAGTCCCAAACTGCTCTCCTTTATTCCCCTCTGGTCTCTTCTCCACATAGCAGCCAGGCTGATCCTGTTTAGGCCTGAGTCCCTCCCCGTCCAAATCCTTCTATGGCTTACCCAAGGACAATGGCCTTCTTGCTGTTCATGAGACGCCTGTCCCAACCTACACTGTTACCCAGCATGGGGACTCCTCCTGGGTCTGGGACACAGTGAGCCGCCCCACCCCATATCTTTGTGGCTTAATTCTTCGCTGTCTTCAGGTCTCTTCTCAATGCTTCCTTCTTGGCAAGGCCCTCTTACTCCCTGCCATTCCCCCCCCCCCCAACATATGGATTCACCCCATGTCCTGATCCTGCTTTATTTTCCATCACAGCATTTACAGTCTTCAAAAACACTACATGGAGTCCTGGTGTGGCACTGTGGGTGAATGCGTTGGACTGCAAAGTAGATTTGAACTGCCGACCTTCAGTACAAACAGCTTTACAGTTTGGCGCACTTACCCACAGCGCCAAGAATTCAACAAACCAACAACACACTACATATAAAAAAAAACCAAAACCAAATTTACTGCCATGGAGTCAATGTGGACCCCTAATGACCTATACAGCATTCAAGAGGCTGCAAATCTTCACAGGAGCAGAAAGCCTCATCTTTCTCCCATGGAGTAGCTGATGGGTTTGAACTGCTACCCTTTGGTTAACAGTCCAGTGCTTATCATACAGTGCCACCAGGCTCCTACACTTCATACATGAGGACTTCAAACGTTTGTGGGAAAATTCCATTTTTTCAATCCACTTTTCCATGAACTTTTCTGAAGCCCCCTCATAAGTTACTTATTTAGCTTAGTGCGTCTTCTTGCTAGAATGTTAGCTTCATGAGGGCAGGGGTTTTGCCTGTCTTAATTCACTGATATCCCCCCAGTGTGCAGAATGGTGGCGGGCATGTGAGAAAAGCAAATGAATATTTATTGAATGAAGTGAATAAACTGCTCTCTTTTAAAAAGAGCATGGGAATAAAAATGGAGTAAACTCCAGAAAACAAAGCTAAAGGCTTTGCCAGGTTTTCAAGAGGTTTGTCCAGAAAGGGCTCTAAGCTAAGTAGTGAATTGTTGCTAAGTGCCTTGAGTCAGTTCTGACTCACAGTGACCCCATATAGGGTTTCTAAGGAGCTGCTGGTAGGTTTGAACCTTGAACCTTGTGGTTAGCAATCCAGTGATTATCCTACAGTGCCACTCCAGGACTGGCACCCTAATAATGGCCCTGTGTGACTACGTCATACACCACAATCCTAGGAAGTGGCTAAACAAAATGAAATTAAGCTAAAGAAATAAAAATATATCCTGAAAGAGAAAAGAGAAGGTGGTAAAGAGGCAGTTTCACTACATAGCAAAAGGAGACCTAGGAAGTTGTCTGCAATGTTGTCATGTCAAGCTGAGGGAGAATACGAATGAGGAGAATGCGGAGGGTGGATCCACTAAGGAAGTTACAAAAGGTAAGCATTGCACAATGTTATAGTTGGGAGCAAATCAATATGACATTAGGTCTACCCTCTATCCTGGTGTGGTACTTTAAGGTAAGTACTTTAAGATAAGCACTGTTAACCAAAAGGACAGCAGTTCAAACCCACCAGCTGCTCCTTGGAAACCCTATACAGGGTTGTTATGAGTTGGAACCGACTCAACAGCACTTAACAATAAAAACAAATGTGAATATAACTTGTTGTTGTTGTGAAGTGCTGTTGAGTTGGTTCTGCCCCATAGCAACCCTGTATAGGGTTTCCGAGGAGCAGCTGGTGGGCTTGAACTGCCGACCTTGCAGTTCAAATGGCTTTGCAATCTGGCACATTAACCCACAGCGCCACACCAGAATACAACTTAGGAGGTACAAAATAGTTCAAAGGAATAATTTTATTATGTCTGTTAAGTTGTTTTTATTAAGTGCCACTGAGTCGGTTCTAACACATAGTGACCCTGTATAAGGTTTCCAAGGAGCAGCTAGTGAGTTAGAACTGCTGACCTTGTAGTTCAAACTGACATTGTGGTTGGTCTGTCCAGTGTTTTATCCCACAGCGCCATACCAGGACTCCTTATTATGTCTAAGAGTTCATAAAAAACAGAAACTTCTTTTATTCATTATTAAGCTGAGTGTAAAACATGGTTACTCACAATATTAAGTTCTTCACACGTTCCACAGGAACCAAATGGAGAAGTTCAGTCGAGTCTTCCAAACTTAGCAGAGTATTTACAGCTTGACAAAGGACAAATAAACTTCCTAAGGGCAAAAATACAGAAGAAACCACATTATCTTTTTGTTTACATGAGTTATCAAACATCTTATTTATCTGGGGCTTAGTACTTATAGGAAGTTCTAGAGTTTGCACCTTCTAAAGTGCATTATTAGAGTCCTTGTGTGGCTGTGGGTTAATGCGCCAGACTGCAAAGCCGTATGAACTGCAAGGTCGGCGGTTCAAGCTCACCAGCTGCTCCTCGGAAACCATATACAGGGTCACTATGGGTTGGAACTGACTCGATGGCACTAAACAACAACAGAGTGCACTATTAGGACTCCTGCTGTGGTGCTGTAGGATCTGCACTGGACTGCGAACCCACCAGCTGCTCCTTGGAAACGCTACACAAGGGTGCTGTGAGTCGAAACCAACTCTATGGCACTTAACAAGTGAATTATCTGCCAAATGTCAGAGTATAACAGGAACAGAAAAAGAGGGGTTTATCTTACACTTCATTACAAAGAAGTTACTGAGATAAGAGAATAAAAATGTATGTTTCATTAACCAAGATGAAGAGAAAGTTAAATGGTTTCACCTACTGGCATCATCAAAACTGGAACTTCTTAGGAAAGACCTGGACTTTTCAAAAGATACAGAGCTTTATCTTTGTGTAAAACATTTGTCGATTTTATTCGTCCAATTTCTAAGTCACGTATCTAATGACCATATCTACAATTCCTTCCTTCAATCAATATTAACTCTTGATCCCTAAACTCAAAGTTGGGAAAAAATGGTCCACAGGCCAAATCTGGTAGGCAGCCTGTTTTTATATGATTTGTATGCAAAGTTAACAATGGTTTTTACATTTTTAAAGGGTTGTTTCAAAAATAAGAAGAAAAAGGTCAGTAACAACAACAAAAGAATCTGCCATAAAGATTGAATGCGGCCCACAAAACCTAAAGTCTTTACAAGTAAATTCTTTATACAAAACTATAAAACAACTTCTTTATAAAAAGTAAAATGTTCCACAGGTGTGCTGTTGTTGTTATGTGCCGTGGAATCAGTTCCGACTCATAGCGACCCTATACAGGGTTTCCAAGGCTGTAAATCTTTATGGGAGCAGAATGCCTCATCTTTCTCCTGCAAAACAGCTGATAGTTTTGAACTGCTGACCCTGAGAATAGCAGCCCAATTCATAACCACTACACTACCAGAGCTCCCTATAGGTGTGCTGTACAGTATGGTAACCAGCAGCCACATGGAGCTATTGAGTACTCAAGACGTGGCAGATCTACTGTATTCTCTAACATATTTGTTCAGCATCTAATATAGGACTCCTGGTGTGGACTGTGAACCACAAAGTTGGCAGTTCAAACCCACCAGTGGCTCCTTGGAAATTATACACAGGGTGGCGATGGGTCAGAACCAACTCAATGGCATTTAACAGCAATAGCACAGAACCTAGTTCATTGATATTTAAGTGAGTAAATGACTACTAGGTATGAGGGGGCTTGAAAAGTTCATGGTCAAACAAATGAAAAGGTAATGGAATTTCCCTCAGACTTTTTGAAGCCTCCTCGTGTGTGTTAAAAACACCGCTAACTGCAGAATGTGAGGAGAAAATGGAATGTGGGGCTCATTACCTCCGTGACAACTGCTCTCTTTGCCACGAGACTAGAAGAACTGGAAGGTGCCCGGCTCCTGATAGAAAACCACTGACCTTTCAGTTAACGGCCCAGCACTTAACCACTGAACCACCAAGGGTTCCTGGAGGACAATGTGAGGTCTGTAATAGTACGTGTCCTGCTCAAGGTAAATGGCAAGTACACCAGGAGCGTCAAATGTTGACCAGGGCCATGCTGAACACTGGCTGGTAGTCTTCCATGCCCTTACATCAGCTGACACTCCAACCCCCTGGCTCAGTCACATGATGGGAAGCAAGGGTAACACCTCCACGTTCCCAGATGTATCACAGAAGACAATGTAATAACTATTCTCTGTTATGCTGCATGGGTGTTTACATTTACTTTGGATCTGTCCCTAAAGAAAGGGAAGAGAACAAGTGGTGATTTTAGAACTGACCTTTTCCAAAACTCCCTTTGTCAACAGACGTGAAGAGTGACTCTATGAGGCATGTGACGAGGGGTATCACCTTCTCTTTCTCAAGCAGTCTGTCCAAGAAGCAAGAAAACAGAGAGCAGTTCAAACTGGTATCCCATGGCCTCGTCATCAGTGGTCAAGGGACGGCTCACAAAGACATTAAGTCAGCACACTAGGCATCTCTTCCAAAACTCAGCACAGGTTCTTACCTGATATGAGGTAACACTACCAAGGCTGCCCATGAATGCGAGAGGTAAGTAGCATCTTTATTTGGAGGTAACTGAATTATAGACAAGAGATGATCCAATACTGGAATCTGGTTCTTTTCTCCCTTACATCCAGTCTTCTTCTTCCTTAAATAGGATCTGAAGGATAAAAAATAAAGAAAGAAAACGGAAAATATAAGAGAATGTAATTGCTGTAAAACTCTGAACATGTAAGAGAATGTAATCGCTCTAACCCTATGAACTTTGAATATGGTTCCTTTGCATGTGTAGAGCATTTGAGGAATGCTGTTGGTGGATGAATATAAACAAGAAAACAAATGTGTGAGTCATTAGCTGTCCTGCTTCATACCAGGTAATAAGCTCCTCCAATAAAACCTACACTCCTTACCTGGGCCTGTAATGCCCTTTGAGATCCGTCCCTCACCTACCTGTCACCTCCTCTCATCTCTCTCCTCAGGGACCTTCTTTCTCCTCCTCAGACACGCAGAGCTCGCTCCTGTCCCTAAGCGTCTGCAGTAACTCTCCCTTTACCTGCAAAACCTTCTTGCCAGGCTTCTGGACACTGGATCCTACCCCTAGTCACAGTACAACAGGGGTCTTCCCTTTCAACATTCGTGTATTTTTTTAAATCCTATCTAAAATATCTAAAATCATTTCTATGTCCCACCACATCCTTTCCCCTAAGAATGCAATCTCTCTCAAATTAAAGAACCTTTTCTTTATTCATCATTGAACCCCTATTACCTCAAAAAATGCCCAACACAATAAGTTATTGTTAAATGAAGCAGAAAAAAAAAAAATTTCTTCCAAACAGTTCTTTCACATCTGTTATTTATTTTTATTCTCACAATAAAACCTGTAAAATAGGTGGAGTGTTAAGAATATTCAAATCATTATCAAAATCTCCACAAAGGAGCCAAGGCAAAGGTGACCATTCATACACGCGATATCTCTGTTGGGGGTGGCAGAGGGATGCTTTCTCACAAAAACTAGTTCACAGGCCTGCATTTATTTATTTATTCTGACCATGCCACATTCCAGGAAGGATTTGAGAGGCATGAGGTGACAGTGTGAGGCCCTGGCTTCATCATGTGATGTCAACAACAAAGCAGCTTATTTCACCACAAAGAACCCATAGTTTCAGCAACTTAGAGGCCATTTACCTGTTACAGGTTGGCTTTGTGTTGTGAAATCAAGAGAATAGTTCCAAAGGACAATTCTGAAGAATTGATTGCTAAGTTCTTGTTGTTGTTAAGTGACATCAAGTCAGTACCAACTTACAGCAACCTTATGCACAACAGAACAAAACATTGCCAGGTCCTGGGCCAACCTCCCAATTGTTGCTACACCTGACCCATTGCTGCCAGCACTGTGCCAATCCATCTCACTGGGGGTCTTCTTTTTCTCTGACCCTCCACTTTACCAACATGATATCCTTCTCTAGTGACTGGTCCTGCCTGATAATATGTCCAAAGTATGAGAGATGAAATCTGGCCATTATGGCTTCCAAGGAGCATTCTGGCTGCACTTCTTCCAACACAGATCTGTTTGTTCTTTTGACAGCCCATGGCACTTTCAAAATTCTCCTCCAACACCATAACTCAAAAGCATCAATTCTTCTATGGTCTTCCTTATTCACTGTTCCAGCTTTCACATGCATATGAAGTTACTGAAAATACCATGACTTGGGTCAAGCACACCTTTGTCCTCAAGCTGACATCTTTGCTCTTCAACACTTTAAAGAGGTCTTGTGCAGCAGATCTGTGTAATGCAGTATGTCCTTTGATTTCTTCACTTCTGCTTCCATGAGTGTTGATGGTTGAACGGAGCAAATGAAGTCTTTGACAACTTCAATCTTTTCTCCATTTATATGGATGTTATTTATTGGTCCAGTAGTGAGGAGTTTTGTTTTACATTGAGATGCAATCCATACCACCAAAGACTGTGGTTTTTGATCTTCATCAGTAAGTATTTTAAGTCCTCTTCGCTTTCAGCAAGCAAGGTTGTATCATCTGCATAGCGCAGGTTGTTAATAAGTCTTCCTCCAATCCTGATGCCACATTTTTCTTCATAGAACCCAGCTTCTCAGATTATTTGCTCAGCATATAGATTGAATAAGTATGGTGAAAGAATACAACCCTGTCTCACATCTTTCATAATTTTAAACCAGTGTTCCCATGTTTTGTTTGAACAACTGTCTCTTGGTCTATGTACAGATTCCTCATGAGCACAATTAAGTGTTCAAGAATACTCATACTTTGCAGTGTTTTCCATAGTTTGTTATGATCCACACAATCAAAAGCCTCTGCATAGTCAATAAAGTACATTTTCTGGTATTCTCTGCTTTCAGCCAAGATTCATCAGACATCAGCAATGATATCCCTCATTCCAAGTCCTCTTCTGAATCTGGCTTGAACCTCTGCAAGTTCTCTGTTACTGTATGTTTGCAGCCATTTCTGTATTGCCTTCAGTAAAACTTTACTTGCATGGGATATCAAAGATATTGTCCAATGATTTCCACATTCAGTTGCGTCACTTCTCTTTGGAATGGGCACAAACACGGATCTCTTCCAATCAACTGACCATATAAGGCACAAACACAACTTAAAACCAGGAAACAAAGAATCCAATTGTAAACAGGAGCAAAATAAATTAACAGACATTTCACTAACAGAATACACAGATGGCCTTTAAGCACATGAAAAGATGTTCAACATCACTAGCCACTAGTGTTTTGTTAGGTGCCATCAAGTCAGTTTCAGTGTATAGCAACCCTATGTTCAACAGAACAAAACAATGCCCAGTGCTATGCCATCCTCACAATTGTTTTTATATTTGAGTCCAAAGTTGCAGCCACTGATCAATACATCTTGTTTTGAACAAAACACTGCCTGGTCCTACCCCATCCTTACAATCATTGCTCTATTTGAGACCTTTTTCACTGGTACTCTACCAAACATGACATCCTTCTCCAGAGACTGGTACTTCTTGATAACATGTACAAAGTACGAGACAATGTCTCGCCATCCTCCTTTTAAGGAAATAAAAGACGTATTTTTTTGTTCTTTAGGCAATCCATGGTATATTCAATGTTCTTCATCAACAACATAGGCATCAATTCTTTTTCGATCTTCCCTATTCATTGTCCAGTGTTCACATGCATAGAAAGAAACTGAAAACACATGGCTTATGTCAGGTGCACCTGAATCCTCAAACTGACATCTTTTACACTTCAAGAGATTGTTTGCAGCAGATTTGCTAAATACAGTACACTGACTGACTCATTGATTGCTGCTTTCATGGGCATTGATTGTGGATCCAAATAAAATGAAATCCTTGACAACTTCAATAGTTTCTCTGTTTATCATAATGTTGCTTATTCATCTAGTACAGATTTTTATTTTCTTTAGGTTGAGGTCTAATCCATACTGAAGGCTGTATTATTTCCCCATCATCAGTAGTTGCTTCAAGTCCTCTTCACTTTCAGCAAGATTCTGTCATCTGCTATCACAGGGTATTAATGTGTCTTTCTCCCATCCTGATGCCTCATTCTTCATGTAGTCCATTATCTGCTTATCATACAGATTGAATAAATATAGTGAGAAGAATACAGCCTAGACACACACCTCTCCAGACACTAAACTACTTCTTGTTGTTGTGTTTTCACAATAGCCCTTTAGCTTAAATATAAGTTAACACATTAGCACAATTAAGTGTTCTGGAATTTCCATTCTTTACAATGTCATCCATAATTTGTTATGATCTACACAGTTAAATGTCTTTGAATACCATCTTTCTGGTATTCTCTGCTTTTAGCCAAGATTCATCTTGTACCAACAGTATCTCTTGCCCACATCCTCTTTGAATGCAGCTTGAATTTCTGGCAGTTCCCTGTAAACACAATATTTTAAAATTATTTTCAATAAACTGTATTTACATGTGAAATTAATGATATTGCTTGATAATTTATCTTTTCTGTTGGATCATGTTTCTTTGGAATGAGCATAAATAAGTGTGAATCTCTTCCAGTTGGTTGGCCAAGTAGCTATCTTCCAAATTTCTTGGAACAGGCAAGTGAGTGGAATATTATTCAGTTAAAAACAAAACAAAACAAAAATGAACTGTTGATTCACACAACTTGTATGAACTGTAAGGAAATTAAGCTGCGTGAGAAAAAGTCAGCTTCAAAAGTTTATATACCCTTCCTAAAATAATAAAATTATAGAGATGGAGTACAGGTTAGTGCTGACAGGGCGTAGGGACAGGGTTGGGTGAGTTTAGCTATTAAAAAGTGGCACAAGACATCTTTGTGGTGAAGGAGCAGTTCCAAAATCTGGACAATGGTAGTGATGGTTATACAAATCTACACATGTAATAAAACTGCAGAATTAAATACGCACACAAATGAGTGCATGCCAAACTGGTAAAATAAAATAAAGTAGATAACCTTCAGTATGGATTACACTTCACTGTAAAGAGAATAAAAGCCTCTCACAATTGGACCAATAAATATCATCATGATATGGAGAAAAGATCAAAGTTCTCAAAGACTTCATTTTGCTTGGATCCACAATCAACACGCAGAAGCACCAGACAAATCTGCTGTACAAGTCCTCTTTAAAGTGTTCAAGAGCAAAGATACCAGTTTGAGGACAAAAGGTATGCCTGTTCAAGCCATGGTATTTTCCATTGCCTCATATGCATTTCTAGAAGAGGTACAGCCAGAATGTTACTGGAAGGCAAGGATGGTGAGACTTCATCTCTTACACTATGCTTGGTATACAAGATGGAAGGTCAGTGAAAAAGAGGAAGACCCCCAATGAGATGGACTGACACCGTGGCAGCAGCAATGGGCTCAAGTGTAACAATACTTATGATGATGATGTAGGACTGGGCAGTGTTTTGTTCTGTTGTACGTACGGTCGCTATAAGTTGGAACTGAGTTGATGACACCTAACAACAACAGGTAGATTTTTGTCCACATCAATTTCTTAATTCTGGCATTACATCACACTTGTGCCAGCATGCAACCACTGGGAGAACTAGATGATGAGTGCATGGCACCCTGAGGCACGATTTCTTACAACAGCAGGTAAATCTACAATTACTTCAAAATACAATGCTGTAATAAATGAGTAGTCGTCTTTCATTTCTTGACCATCATGTTGATGTATACTTATATGTCTATATGCATATATACATTTTTCATTTTTTTTTAGTTCTTCAAAATGAAATCATACTACATACACATTTTTATGGAGTCCCAGTGTAGCGTTGTAGGATAAGCACTGGACTGCTAACCACAGATGGGTAGTACAAACCCACCAGTCACTCCTCGGAAACCCTACAAAGGGTTGCTATGAGTCAGAACTGACTCAATGGCATAGAACAACACACACTTTTATAACTTGCCTTTTACAAATAATATTATCATGGACATCTCAGCGAATACAAACAGATCTTCATTTTTCACAGCATTCTTGATGTATTTTTTTTTTAAATGTTTTACTGTGAATTATGTGATAGTTTACATGGGAGAACATTAGCTTTACATTCATCCTACCGTATATCATTTCATTGCCATGGTTACAATCCTCTCTATGCATCATCAATCAAGCAAAGGGTATACCCTGTAAGCCTGCCTCCCCTCTCCTTCTCTGGGGCTAAATTCAGCACCCAGCCCCCTCCCTCTCTGGCTCTAAAGTCCCCAGCCGCTCCATCTCTCCACGTCATCATCTCTGCCTCCATCTCAGGCATCACGGCTTCTTTGGGTAGGGTCCTGCTCTCAGCTCTTATCCCTTGATTGTCCCAGGGACCTCTGCTGCTAGACTACAAAGTTATTCACTCCCCTCCTTGCTACAAAACGTCTACATTTACATTTCCAACCCTCACAATCAGTCCTGATAAGCATTATTCACTATTGTATCACAAGAGACCTATCTGTAGAGATTCTACCTTCCTCCACGCCCTCTGGATCTAAGCTCCCTCTTGAAAGCTTGTAAGCCAGTCACTTCTTGCCTTTGAAGCCCCCCACCCCTTTTTGGGTAGCCAAATGTCCAAGTTGCCCATCCCTGTCCACTCTGTGTATGGAAGGTATGGGAATGATCCTCGCTGTAGGATTTGTTCCCTCTTTTGAGATACTGCATCCATAGGTGTAGGTCAAGTTCATCAAATTGTATCAGATTGCTCTTTATTTCCTCTTCTTTCTTCTTCTAGTTTAGCTCTGAGCATCCAGTCATTGAAGCTATATCAAGTGGGTATTATCTGAAAGTGTGGGTGTTCTTATGCATATGGCCTCTTTTCTTATCAGTTGGACTCTTCACTCTCCACTCTAGTCCTCTGTGGCTATGTCACTGACTCTGGGCCCCAGAGTCTCCAGATTTTGCCACACTGCTGGCCAACCAGGTCTCCACACGGGTTCACCGGAGTCTACTGAACGTGGTTGGACTTAGCTCGCAGCTTCGTTGTTGTTTTTCCCTCACTTCCTCCTATCAGTGACCAACGACATGGTCACCAATCAGAGGGTGTATTCCCTTTGAGTCTTAGTCTTGAAAGGGCGTTTGCCCTGAGGGGACCCGACAACTTGCCTTGATGTCACCTGGGCGAGCAACTTGCTTGTTCTTGTAGTAATCAGTCAGTCTGTCTATATTGTTTTGTATTTTTCATGTCGGTCTTTCTTTCAAGAAGTATCTTTTTTAATTCTTGCCACTCCAGGCTGGTCTGCTTGTCCTGTGAAATGGAAATTTCCCACCTCAGAAGATTCTGGATGGGGTTCAAGTTCCCACCTATGGTCTTAGGTAATGTAGAGGCTCCACAGGAAGCCTCCTTCACTGGGCACGTTGTAGCTCCATTTTAGGTATTCCAATCAATTATAGGAAGAAGATGGACTTACAAGCTTTCCATGGTGATATTTCTGGCTATTTCTTTCTCTCTCCCTCAAGTGTCTATTTTATAATGGTATGCCAAGGAAACCAAGATTCAAAAGACAGCCAAGCATTTAACATTATTTCTCCCCTTTTGGCCCATTCCAACCATGTCTCAATCCCTGTACCAGACCATTCTTGATGTATTTTGTATCAATGTGTAGTCTTACCAACAAATAAAAAGGATTCAAGATAAAACTTACCCCACTGTTTGCTGTGAGAAAACCAGAGGGTACTTTTCAATTGCCATCGAACCAGCAGTAGGAGGTGGTGCTTTGTTGAGAATGAGTTTGGCCAAAATGGCGAGAGCTTCATCTTTAACTGTAAAGTCTTCAATCAAGAAGCAGTTCTCAATATATGAGAGAAAGCTTGGTAGAAAAAGCTAAATAAAAGTAAGAAAATCACATTTATTAACAGATGTAAATTCCAGAAAGTCTAGCAAAGGAAAGATTTTAGTAGTTTCAGAGAGGAAGAAAACAGAGCATAAGGGATTAGGGCTCTAATGGCAAGAGAATTCTCTCCACAGCAATATGGACAGCAGAAGACAACGGAGAGATGACTTCAAAACTCTGAGGTAAAATGATTTAGAATATTGTGGTGCTGTAGGATACGCACTGGGTCACAAGGTCAGTTTGAACCACAAGGCTGGGGGTTCAAACCCTCCAGCCACTCCTCGGAAACCCTATAAATAGTCACTAGGAGTCAGAACCAACTTGACAGCACTTAATAACTTAATACCCAGCCAGGCTACCAACACTGGCTAAGGAGAAGATTAAGACATTTTCAGACATACTAAATCTCAAAATTTTACCTCTAGTCACCCTTCCTCTAAAAAACGTGTTCCATCAAAATAAGAGAATAAACCATAAAGGTAAGACCGCATGGGGACCAAGCAGGAAAGAAGCAAAAGGAAGTCACGGCATGACACGTGGCAGCGACTCTTCAGTCTGGAATTGCTCGAGGAGGGTCTCCAAGAAAGAAAAACTGATCTGACAGTTCACTATGTCCAAGCATTGTGCAAGGCTGTTAGAGGGCACACTCACCGGTCACTCCCAAGTTTTTACAAAGAATGAGACCATTTTGTTAAATGCCATCGAGTCGATTTTGACTCTGTATAGGGTTTCCAAGGAGGAGCTGGTGAGTTTGAACTGCCGACCTTGTGGTTAGCAGTTCAGTGCTTATCCTATAGCATCACACTAGGATTCCATAAGGCAGTTATTAAAAAAAGAATTACAATGATAAAATACTCATTGTTTACATAAATTAAGTATATGATGAATACAATTTAACTGAAATTTGATACACAACTCTATTAGGAGGATAAGCACAATGACAGGGGCTAAAAAGGAAACCAAAATCCATCTACCAGAGAAGGTCTCCAGGTGAACACTAAAATTTACAAATCAAAGAAACGCAGAATATTCAGATTTTGAAACAGGAAGGAAGTATGAGCAAAAGCAGCTAAACCTCATTAAACGTGATTGCTATCAATGAGCAACACGGAAGTACACAATCAAGTGTTTCAGCCCTGTTTGACTTTTTATGAACACATATACTTGTTAAGGGTCATCAAGTTGGTTCCAACTCATAGCGACTGTGTATATATGGTTTCTGAGGAGCAGCTGGTGGGTTTGAACAGCCGACCTTACAGCTAGCAGTCCCAGGGCCTACACTACAATGCCACACCAGGACACATACTACTTTCATAAAATCAAGATTAAAGGGGAAAAAAAAAATCTACTATCTTGTTAGGGTACAAGAAAGGGAAAACCAGAGTGAGATAAAGAGCCCCCGTTGGGTAGAGAGAAACAAAACAGAGAGCACACACATAAAGGGTTTTGAGACAAATGAGAACATGCACTGTTTTTATAGACTAATGCTAACTGGAAGGCTAGAAGACTGATGGTTCAAACCCACCAGCCATTCCGCTAAAGACGAGGCAGTCTGCTCCCATAAAGACTTACAGCCCCTGGAACCACATGGAGCAGCTGTACTGCCCTATAGGATCACTATGAATTGACTCAACGGTAGTGCATTTTTAATGGTAACTAAAAATACCGAGATAACAGAGAGATAGTACATTATAGGGTTACTAGCGCTGGTGTAGCACTATGAGATAAACATTGAACACTAACAGCAGGACCAGTAGTACAAATCCACTAGCCACCCCCAGAAACCCTGTACAGGGTCACTATGACACATGACAGCACTTGACAACAACAGCTATAAATGTCTAATGAAGGTGGAGAGAAGGATATACTTAACTCCGGTATACATAAAGCATTTTTAACAAGTATCTATTTCGTACCAATGAAATTAATTTGCAATCTTCCTTGAATGCAAACTCTTTTAAAAGCTATTTGCTATGCTTCAAATTTATATATAAGTTCTTTAAACTGTCCTTTACACCACGTGGTTCTCTAACTTTCTAAAAAAAATTATTAAATAAGCTGGCTACCTGATTAAACACTGATATAATTTTCAAAGTCTTACATATGAAACAAACTTTCAATTGTAGCCTAAAATGGCTATATAATTTGTTTGAAAAACGAAAACATCAAGCACTTATTTTTCTTCTTGATTGGTTTAAACCATAAATTAAAAAAAAAAAAAAAGATTTAAACAATAAAGTTCAGAACTTAATGTCTTGCTTACCTGCTCAAACTGTTTCATAGCAAACATGACTTCAGAAAAATCCAAAATTAAACGTCTTTCAAAACCGCTCTCAAAAGCCTGTGGAGCACAGGTATAAAGACACTAAGTAAGGCACAGCGAAAGACCTTTCCCATTCCTGTGAACTAAAAACACCCCCAAATTTGTCCAGTCCTCTACAGGCAAGCAGGAAGGTGTGAGATGCTTGAACAAGTTAATGTAATCAAAACCAGAAAGCTCAATGCTTCGACCCCAGGCAGAATGAATCATTGCAATTCAAGTTAGTTTTTTCCTACTAGATTATAAACACTAACTCACAACTCTCCACTTTGCAAAACGCAGTGGGAAAAACATAGACATCACATGAGGGGGCTGCAGAAAATTCAAAGAAAAAGATAATAATTAAAAGAATATGGAATTTCCTCACAAACTTTTGAAGTCTTTTCATTGTATTATCTACCCTGGGATACTCAGCAGTTGGTTAAGTTATGTTCGTTGATTATTTGCTGAATTGATTTAGCTTCCAAATCCACTTTGTTTTACTTATTTCCTATATAGCCTGCAATTTACATCACCTTAACAGATTCTTTAAGAGCAGAGCTTTAGTCAAGTTTCATTTGTATTTCCCAAGAGGCTTTCTCCAATGGAGTCCTGGTGTGACACTGTAGGATAAGCACTGCACTGCAAACCACAACATGTATGGTTCAAACCCACCAGCTGCTCCTCGGACACCCTATATAAGGCCACCATAAATTGGAACCAGCTCGACAGCACGTAACAACACAGAGGCTTGGTGGTGGTGGTGTGCCATGGAGTAGGTTCTAACTCATAGCGACCCTGCATAGTGTTTCTGAGGCTATAAATCTTTACGGGAGCAGAAAGCCTCATCTTTTCCTGTGGAACTGCTGACCATGAGGTTAGCAGCCCTACTCGTAACCACTACACTACCAGAGCTCCTAAGGAGGCTTGGTGGTTGGTGGTTATGTGCCGTGGAGTTGGTTCCGACTCACAGTGACGCTATACAGGGTTTCCAAGGCTGTAAATCTTTACAGGAGCAGAAAGCTTCATCTTTCTCCCACAGAACAGCTTGTAGTTTCAAACTGCTGACCCTGAGGTTAGCAGCCCAACTCATAACCACTATACCAGAGCTCCTAAGGAGGCTTAGCCCATGCTAAAATATATATTAACTACTCAATTAATATATTTTGGATCAAATTACTTTTTCTATGGTTTCTTTGATGAGAGTTTCTGGCAAGGAAACATTCTCGCCTAGGATCAAAGCAGAAATGACATCCAAGAGAGTCTTCCGGCAAGATGTGGAGAGAGTGGCTGTTTCCAATGTTTGAGATAATACCTGTAAAATAAAAGCAAATACAATGCACTTACCCATCCGCTTTTAATGAACAGACTTTAAGCAAATGAAGTTGGGAACTCACCTTACAAACGTCAACAGGGTTGGTTATTTTTGATCCATTTCCATATTTCACAAGAATCAGATAGGTCTCTAACAACCTTTTAATCTGTTCAGACCATTCACAATAGTTAGTTTCCATTACTTGAGTTTGCAGATCCAGGAGTGATTCCTGCAAAACAGGAATTTAACAGAGAGAAATACAGAATATCCAACTTGCCTGCTTACCCAATAATGACAACATTGCATGCCACAGTTCAACTTTCCACACTTTTTTGCATTAGAAAGAAAAGAATCACTGAGGAAGAGAACAACTACCATTTACTGAATGAACTAAGTTCTTTGCCTGTATTTACTCCCAATTCTCAGAGCAATACTGAGGACGTTGTTACCCCCATTTAACAGATGAGCACTGAGTAGTAGGGATTGTCAATGACTTTCCCAAGGCACACCAGCAGCAAGTGGCAGAGTCAAGATCCAACACAGGCCCTCTGGCTCCAAAGCCTGCACTCTTAGTAACAACTCTTTGTTGCATCTCAAGAATCAAATAAAAACAGACCAGGGGAGAGATAGATAGTAATATCTGTGTGTGAAGTATAAAGAAAACAGTAACAAAATATAATCTCTAAGAAGATCTTGCTAACAATAACAACTCTAGACGCCTCATCACATACATATATTAACAATTAGCACTTACTTGCAAACATTCAAAAAAGGTCTGGAAATGTTCTTTGGAGATGTAGAATGCGGTGGATCTGACCATGCTTTTGAGTGTTTCTCCAACTAAAATCCATGGGAGTTGAGTTTCTCTTTCAGTAACAGGTCCTAGCTTTTGTAAAATTAGCTTTACTGCCTGTGAGAATCCAAGAGTCATTAAAACGCACATACAAGCCTTTATTTTTAGGCATTACTCTGTGATTTATCACTCTGATTAGATTAGCTTCCTGAAAATCTGGTCTGGAATAACCATAAGTATGGTAGCTTTGATGATTAGGTTAGTTATGTATCCCAAAAGGAATTTCCAAATAAGGATGGAGAACTTTATTGCCTATTAGCTCCCATCCATTCTCACCCACTAGTCAACTTATGCTATTATCTCCTAGTTTCCTGGATGAACACACCAGTGAGTAAGCAAAAATCTCCATTCACCAAGGGCATAGTATGGCACTGCAAGATAAGCACTATACTGTTAACCACTAAGTCGGTGGTTCAAACTCACCAGCCACTCCTCAAAAATCCTATACAAGTCCATGAGTCAAAATTGACTCAATGGCACTTAACAACAACAAAAAAGCCTACCTTAGGTTAAGTATGTTAGTAAATGTTAGTAAACAACACTCCTCGTTTGGGGCTTCCTACTTACCCTAGCCAGTCTACATAGGCTGCATAATTATTTTCTAATTTCTTTTTCATCTCTTTGACATAGACCCAAAGTTTCTTCCCACCTGACCCAGTTATTTACCTGGCCTGTACAAGAGTGAAACATATTTCTAACTCCTTTGCACATTTCAAAGAGCAACTGTCCAACTCCTTCCACCTTTTCTGGATGTTTGTCAAGATCAAGAAACATTAAATTGAAAAGCGAATTTTTATCAGAAACCTAAAATACAAAATAGACAATTATATTTACAACATATTCATTTGTATAAACATATATAAATGAAGAAATCTTGTTTGGTATTTTACATGTTTATATTTAAATATAATTAGGGGCCATTTCTAAAAGGACTAGACACTTTTAATGATTTCAAATGACTCTAAGAGTACACTCTCACTAGGAATGTCACACAGAGATGACGTGATTAGTATGGTGTGAAGGGAAATATCAAGCAAAACTACGTAACAGTCTCTCTTTTAAAGGAAAACACATAGACTTATGAATGTAAAACAAACTTAATACCAAAGTTTTTATTTTACTACCAAAAAAAAAACCACCTCAGTGGCCATCTAACTATTGATGTGGACCCCATGGTGTATCAGAGTAGAACTGTGCTCCTTAGGGCTTCAACAGCCAATCCTGTGGTTGTACATCACCAGGTCTTTCTTCTTTGGAGGAGCCTCTGGATAAACTCAGTCAACCATTCAATTAGCAGATGAATGTGTTAACCATTTGTACCACCCAGGGACATCAAAGACATGGAAATTTATTGTGGAAACAAAGACAAATCCCATTAGGCAATGAGTTCCTGCCATTTCTGTTATTCTCACAGTTTATGTATTTACTGACTTAAATTAAAGGGCTATTTTGGTATATGCATACAAATCTAAAAAATAATGATCCAAATTGTTTATCAGTGAGCAAAAAAACAAAACCTTTCAATAGGATAAACTCAAGCTAGCTACAGGTTTTTGCTTTTTATATCTATACATTAAAGGACTCCATAAAAACCACATTAAAAAGTGTCTGGAATTGACCATTAGATTCTTGAGGATTAAATAGCAATAAACAGAAATTGTCAGACTAACCTTTCTCATCAGAAAAGTAAAGCTTTCAGCAGCAAAATTTCTTATATGCAGTTTGTTATGAGCCAGGAGTGTACTGTACATGCTATGAAGAAAATAAAACATGTTTAACTATATAATTTTAATAAAGATCAACTGAATGCCAACTGCATTTGATGGTGCTAGGTATACAAATGACATCTAACAGAAACTCATCTGACACAAGTTTGGGCTAAGCACAGCACAGAAGTAGCTGGTGGTAGAGGCAATGAATGAGCTCAAGAGACAATTCAAGGCTCTTGCAGTGATGCCAAAGACTTTACGAGTACAATGGTCCGTGGACCCTTTATGTCCTACCTCCCACAACTTCTCCAGTATCAGCTGACAACTCCCCCTTACTCATGCTGTGCCAGCCACCCGGGACTCTTTGCTGTACTTTGACTATACTGCATGCACCCAAGATGGCTAAAAATCTACACTCCACCAGAACATGGATTTGTATGTCTTACTTGTTATTTCATCTCAGATAGCTGACACATAGCCAGTACTTAATTAATACTCACTCAGTGAGTAAATAATAAAATCAAGAAGACTTGGAGTTCCTGATGACAAATGGGTCAAAGATCCCTCAAAGACACTAAGCCTCGGCAGCCAGGGAAAAGTGGCATCAATTAAAAAATGTGCAACCAAACAGGGTCTGACTTACACAGAACAGCCTGCGAAAGCCAGAGCCTGTATAAGGTTAAAACCCATCACAAGAAAAACTCAAGAGCATTTGTCACTCAACAGAAAGCGACAGAAAACTGGTAAGACTGCATTCTGTCCAAGCTAAAAAAGCTAGCAAGACCTGGAAAAAGAAGGCAGTCTACCAGGTTCTGGCACTTACAGGTTTCTCTGTTGTTGGCACTCAATACAGTCCACTTCTAAGATCTGACTTAGAGACAAGACTTAACCCAAATTTCTTCCTGTAGAGTGGCTGCTGGGTTCGAACTGCTGACCTTGTGATTAATAGCTCACTGCGTAACCCACAACGCCACCAGGATTTAAAAGTATTAACTGCAATCACAGGAACAAATTAACTATGCTTCCCAAACACATTGTTGGTTGTTTAATGAAGTAACTGGTTTCTAATATGTTTTACTAGAAGCTTCAAAGAGAATTAGCAATGAATGGCAAAAGTATTTCTCAACCTTTGATCAAAGCTCCTCAGAGAAGGGGGTGGGTGTGGGTTGGATGGACAGAGCAGAAGCCTAAAGCCAGCAGCCTATTCTCCATCCTTACTTTGTATTGGCGATAAGGGATTGATTTCATGAATCCCTGTGGTAACCATAATATGGAAAAACAAGCAAATGGAAAAGTCCACCATATCCCAGAATTGATCAGGTAAGAAGTAATCTTTTTCTTATTTTACACAGAGTTCCTATGAAACTCATTCTCTTCCTGTCCACATTTACTCACAAAGACTGTGTATCTCTTTTGACTTGGAGAAAGTATATTAAGGTCCGGGGAAAATGCAAATATAAGGAAGCAATTACAATAAAAGTCACGAAATACAAGTGCTATAAAATGCTAGAGGGATTCAGAGTACAAGGCTTTTAAACTTCTCACAAAAGTGCACAGAACATTTATGGAGGTTATGGAATCCAAGCCGGGCTTTGTTGGGCAGGCATGATTTTAGTAGCTGGAGAAAGGATAAACTTAGGTCAATGTACACTTAAGACTAGAGGAACAGACTATGAACAACTGGCTGGAAAACCAACTTTTGTATTAACAAATCCTAAGAGATCAAGCTGAAGAAGTAATTTGGAGTCAGACAGAGGCCAACGAAAAAGGCAATGGCAATTTCTAAAAATGTCAGGAAAGAAAGGGACCACCTGTATATATTGGACATGTCCTTCACCATTAATCTCCACAGGTACTTGTAAAGGTATGACAGCGAGGTGAATGCCCATTCTAGCAACTCTGTATCTTGTGTCTCCAGGATTGACGTGATGGTCAGAAAAAAGTCTTGAAAATGTGGATAGAAGTCCGTCTGCAGATCTCTCGCCAATTGCACAACCAAGCTGGATTAAAAATAGAAGTTACTGTTTAAAACACACTGAGTTCTCATTAAGGGTGATGGAAAAATTTGGACACCAGAAGTGGTAATGGTTGTACAACATGATAAATGTAATTACTGTCACTGAGTTTGTACATGTGGACAATGTTGAAAGGGCAAATGCTTTATTTTGCTACATAAAACTTTACCACAGCAAAAATATAAAAATAGAAGCAACTGATTTTGAGGAATGTAGATGAAAAAACAAAGGCTGCACATCTATCTCCCAGATGACAATCAATGGTCTATAAGCATAGGACTAATTAAACCAAACTATTTCTAAACCAGGTTAAAGGGGAAGTATGAGATTCTTCACATCTTAAAGAGTACCGCAGAGAAGTCAGGTAGACCACAAAGGTGTACTCCATCACAAGCTGTGGTCAACCATTTCTATAACGTTTAAGAAAAATGAGGTGCTCTCATCTTAGAGGTATACCAGGAACCCGAGTGGTTGCAGTGGTTAAGCACCTGGCTGCAAATCAAAAGGTGAGCAGTTCAAACCCACCAGCCACTATGGTGAAATATGAGGCAGTCTGCTTCTGAAGTGATCACAGCTTTGGATACCCTATGGAACAATTCGAATCCATACATTAGGGTTGCTAAGAGTTGGAACTGACATACTGGCGATGGAGCTGGTGTTCCCTTAGTAAGAGTATATAAAAAAAGAATGCCCTTAAGATTCTACTTTAAAGTAAAATATCTTTTTGTTGGAAGATATAATGCTCCTTAGAAGCAAGGATGGTGAAACTTTGTCTCTCATACTTCAAACATACTACCAGGAGGGACCAATCCCTGAAGAAGGACATTATGTTTGGTAAAGTGGGGGGTTAGAGAAAAAGAGGACAACCCCAACGAGATGGATTGGCACAGTGGCAGCAGCAGTGGGCTCAAGCATAACAACAATTGTGAGGATGGTGCAGGACTGGGCAATATTTCATTCTGTTGTACATAAGGTCACTACTTGACAGCAGCTAACAACAACATCTTTTTGCAACAGAGTGCTCTAATACAAAAGGCAAATTATTCTATTTTTAAATTTTAAGTACCTGATTTAAGGCATGTGTAGCATTGCAACACAACCCTTCATGAAATTCAGATAAATGTGGTTGAGCTTTGTCCCAAGTTGCTACTTACTCCAAAAGGGGCTGATAAGCAAAACTGTTCTTAATTTGTAGATGAGTCTTCAAACTCTGAACAATCTCATTTTGATGATAGACCAGCTGATTAAAAGACTGGCATTTGTCAATAACTTCTTTGTAAAATTTCCCTGAGTGGGAAAAAAAAAAAAAAAAGGGAACAGATTATACTTTTTACATCACATCACTATGTCGTGATTTTGAACACACAAAGTACAAACTGAGGGGTGAGGAAAATAGAAATAAATTGAAAATACCAAAGTGTTCTGTAAGGTTCAGTTCTCTCCATTTCAGCAGGCCCTCGAAAAAGTAGGTTTCAACCTCCTGCCAAGACCAAAATACTCTATTAATCAGATAACTCAAAGAAAAACTATGGTCAAAGTTAGGGAGTCGGGGGGAGCTATATTCACATCTTAAGACAATGACAGTAGCCAAGAGTTTGGAAAAAAAAACTTCTTTTTGTTTTTTTTAAAAGGATCCTAACACAGTTTTTAAAGCATCTGTAAGTCCAATATGGACAGATGACTTATACAAGCAATGCTCAAAAACGCTGGCTTTTTAAGAGTTCTTTCTTTCTCCTTGTGGAAATAGAAATTGCTACCTTTTGAGGAATACAGCATTTTTATCAAGTAATTATCTCATGTAACACCATCCAATTGAACCTTCTGCAATGAAGGATTGTAGAAATCTCTACACTTGTCCGATATGGTACCTACTAGCTACGTAGAGCTACTAAGCACTTGAATCTTCAATGTACTTCCATGTAAGTGTAATTTGCCATGAGGTCGCTATATTGGAGAGCATAAGTGAAATGTATTTCTCACTTAAAAAGGAATGGCCTTAAAACCAAATCTCTTCTATTTGTGACAAATTAAATACATGACTATCAGTACTTGAAAATTTGGCTAATGTAATATTCTCTTACCTCATCATAGCTTGCAGTTCTATCGATCCGGTGGATAATATCGATATTCACATTTCCTAGTCTTTCAGCAAATGTAAGAAACTGGTGGGAGAAAACATAAACAAGATATACTATCATTTAACACTCGACACATCTTGAATATCTGTTTGAGTACTGTACAGTAATCATATGGGGGCAATTTCCTAGTGGAGAACAGAAAGTTTACACCTTCAGTCATCAACCTTCTTCTGATTACTTCTATTTGTTGTTGTTGTTAAGTGCCCGTAGAGTCGGTCTCCACTCATAGCAACCCTGTATAGAGTTTCTGAGCAGTGGCTGACCTGTGAGTTTGAACCACCAATCTTGTTCAAAGGATCTCGCAGTCCAGTGCTTATCCTACAGTGTCACATTATAAACCTCTTCATTTGCTATCCTGCAAATAACAGTATGTTTTACTTGCTGCAAGTGATTAACTTCAGACTTGTTTTCTGTCACGCAAAACATGTATAACTGGCTTTTTGATATTAAATGCAGGCAGCAATGAAGAATCACATAGGTATGGAAATAAACAGAAAAATCTAGAGTCTTAAACAAATGCCTGCATTTCTATAAAATAAAAAGAAGCATGTTTGGTCCAGTTCTTTAGCTCTGTCATTTCAAATAAAATTCAATACTTAGTTGTGGAGAACCTAGGCAAACGCCGATGGACGTGGCCTCCCTAGATCTACTGTTAGATTTCAGAGCCCCCTACAAGAACAGTTTTGGCCAACAATCGTGCTTTTAAACCTAAATATAATACATGCCTGAGGTTGCGGCAAAGACTTGGAAAGAAACAATCAAGAGGCAAACAAAAAGTAGCTGTTAGAGAGAAATCACTCCCCACCTCCAGTCCGCCTGCCCACCAAATCGGCACTTCCTATAGACAATAAATGTAAGGTTTGAAGGATCTAATTCTCAAGGCATGCCATACCCCACAGCACAAGGGCGAAACCGGCCGTCCAGGAAACTGGGCGGTCAAGCAAAGAAAGACGCATTCCTCCCTCCCCCCACCATACCAATCCCAAAGGTACTCTGGTAGCGCAGTGGTTACGAGAGGTTGAGCGTGAGAAAGATGAGGCTTTCTATTCCCGTAATAATTTACAGCCTCGGAAACCCTATACAGGGTCTCGATGAGTCGGAACCGACTCCACGGTACATAACCACCAACCCATGTTTGCTATTCCCTCTTTTGCTGGAGCCTCCGGGCCAGTGGCTCAGCCTTGGCCTAGAACTCTGCAGCCCCGGACTCCAGTTCCGTATCTCACCCGGTGCGTATTCTCGGTCTTGTGGGAAATGGGCTTTATCTTCATGGCTGCAGAGAGGCAGAAGCCCACGAGGGCGCGAGAATGGCCAAAGTGATCCAATCGACGGTAGGAAGGGGAAACTGGCTCGCACACTTGCACTCTATGATGCCAGGGTGTCCTGACTTCTTCACGTGCGGCCTGACTCCATGGGCGCCGCCATGTTGGAAACGGGGAGGTGCCTAATCATGTCACGTGGGCGGAAGAAACCTCTGTAATAAGTGTTCCCTCCTAGCGGACAGTACTCCTGGTGATGCGGCGGTCTGGGACTGGTGGTGTTTGTGGGTTTAGAGGTCTTCCTTCCGTCAATAAAGATTTACAAGAAAAATGTATGTTTTTATTGTAAGAGAAAGCATGCCTGTTATCACTGTCAGCGAGCATTTGCTGCCGCTCGGTATGTACTATGCAACCTGCAGAACTTGAGCATCCACAGTAAGCACATGTGAATGTTGTTGTTGTTAAGTGCCCTCGAGTCGGTTCCGACCCAGAGCGACCCTGAACAAGGTTTCCGAGGCTGTAAATCTTTACGGGAGCAGAAAGCCTCATCTTTCTACCGCAGAGCGGTAGTTTCGAACTGCTGACCATATGGTTCACAGCCTGATTCGTAACCACTAAGATACCTGAGCTCCTTATGTGATCGCTAAATAAGCATAAATGAGATATATGTTGTTGTCGATGCTAGGTGCCATCGATTCGGTACCGACCCATAGCTACCTTATGTACAGCGAAACGAAACACTGCCCGATCCTGGGCTATCCTCACTACTGTTGCCACGCTTGAGTCCATCTATGCTGCCACTTGGCCAATCCATCTCATTGGGGGTCTTCCTCTTTTTCTCTAACACGCCACCTTATGAAACATGATATCCTTCTCCAGCGACTGTTCCCTCCTGACAATATGTCTTAAGTATGAGAAACCAAGTTTGGCCGTCTTGGCCTCCAAGGAACACACTGGCTGCACTTCTAACACACATCTGTTGGTTCTATAGGCAGCCCATGGAAATTTCAATATTCTCCTCCAACACCATTAACTCAAAAGCATCAATTCTTCTACAGTCTTCCTTATTCACTGTCCAGCTTTCACATGCATATGA